GTGCTAGTTTGCAGGCATATGTCCTTGAATCAATGTGTGTTCAAGGCCTTTCCCTGGACGCTAGTATCCAGGATGTGTATACCTACTAGCGTATGGCCATTACGTCCTGCGTTAGATGTATGGAGACAGTTTACAGGCATGTCCTTGAATCATGCGTGTTCAAGGCCTAACCCTGTTCGCTGTTTTCCAGTATACAGTTAGTTAACTTGCTATTTAAACAAGTCTCCCATATATCTGTTGTTATTCGGTTTTCGGGAACATTGTTCAGATATCCTATATTTCGATGTAGCTTAACATTAAATTATTAGTTAAATCTTTTAATAAATATGTTATATTTTTTCTCATTTTGGGTACAGTACCCCGGAAAGTAACGATGACTAATTTTTTTTATTATAATTAAAACCTTATAATGTAGCATATATACACCCTAAATATTGTCATTTATCTCAATAGTTTAATAATAAATAATAAAACCACCTTATTAAAATCAAAATTACCTAAAGGATATTTGTATTTTATTTTAAAATTCTAATTATGATGATGACTTAATGTGAAAATATTTAATAAGTATAATAACTAGTGTCTATAAATTATATATACTGTATGTATCTTTATCTAAAAAAATATAATTTATACATGTAAAAATAATTTTTAATAAAAAATTTATTTATTATTATTTATTGTAATTAATTTATAATATATTTTAATTAATTCAAACAACTTTATTAAAATGAAATTTGAAATTTATTATTTTTTATTTATTAAAAAATTTTATAATGCACTATATACTGTACATTTGATATTGGTTTTAACAATATTTTTTAAATTTTTAAATATGTACTTAAAAAACCTAATATCAAAATAATGATTAAATTTAAATTTAAATTATTATATAATTAATAAATAACAAATATACTCAAATTATTATTATTTGGATAAAAATATTACTTATCATTAAAAAATTTTTTTAAAATTTAAAATAAGTTTACAAAGAATTTTTATATAAGAATCTATATTGATGATTTGTTAAAAAAAATGAAATCAAAATTTTTTAACATAAAACATCTTTCTAAATCAACTTTTATTTTTTATTATAATTATAAAAAATTAATAATATATATATATTTATATCCACGTGTTAAAATATTTTTAGTAAAGTTCAAATATTATTTTATAAAAAAAAACAAAATTTGGTTTTATGTATCATTGAGATAAATTTACGGTATATTTATGATATTTAATTTTATTTTGTATTTTATTATTCAATGAGCATAAGAATAATTTGTAAAAAATATTTTAGACACTGTATTAAAGCATTGTTTAACAATATATGTAACAATTTGATATTACATATTTTATAATAGTATAATTATAAATTATAAATTATTTTTATAAATATACAGTTTAAATATTTTTTCGATTGTTTTTGATTTTTTTCAAAAATGGTAATTCTTGAAAATTTATATTTAAATATGGTAATAACTTAATGATTCAGTGAATAGATATAATGGCATGATGCAAAAGTTAAAGTGTTGACATTAGAAACTATTGAGTTTATTATGAAATTGTTGTTACAATTTGTTTGGCTATTTCTATATACATTATAGTATATAGTCGAAAAAATTTTCATAAATTCCTAATTATGTAATTATTGTACATGGTAATTGATTCTTAAATAGATTCTTATTCGGCCTATTTATCATAGACCGAAATAAAAATATTCTTTCAATATCTCGTCCAAGATTGACCTCCATCGTGTGACTCGATGCTTGCCCAAATTGCGATCCGGCCGGACTCTAATTATAGTTGTTTAACTGAAACCATAAAAAAATGATGATATACAGATACAGGCGAAGAAAAGTTTTTCTATGGTGTGAGCTTTTTAAACAAAAGTGTAACGTAAAAACGAATAGTTTTTTGAATTTTTAATAAATTTCATTATATTAGGGCGGGATACATATAATGAAAAAATAAAAAAAAATGCGAAAGGAGTAGTTACAAGTGGAAAAATTTACACAGTTATAGCTAAGATATACCTTTTTCTATACACCGTTCACAATACCACGTATTTACTTCTACGGGTGTAGGACCAAATCCTGTACATATTCCGTGAAACCAAACTTGGCAATTGTCGCATGATAGCATGAAATTTCCATCGTCAATCTCTGAAAGAGGATATGGACAAATGCAGTTAATGATTTCAGGCGGATCTGCAGTGTCATTATTAACAACTAATTCTGTTTGTACTGACGGGGTAGAAGAAATAGCTGAAGCAGTTGAAGTTCCTACGCGTAATTTAAGCACCGTCGTGCCAGCTTGCGAACCCTTCCTAGGTTTTTGAATAGGTTTTTCCGAAGATACTGGAGTATACGCTTTTTTTGATTTACTCTTTGTATCTCGTTGAACAGGAGTTTGAGACTTTGATGGAAGAGGTTGAGGCATGGGGGCTTCAAAATTATCAGGAGTGAATATAATCATTTTTTCTTTTTCCTTTCCTTTTCGTGATGCTGAAAGTTTTTCTTCAACAATCTTCGCGTCTGAAGAAGCTGACACCGTCTGCGATGGTGCTTTTGATTCCACACTCTTGCTAGGTTTGGGAGGCGGATATGCGAAGATGGGAATTTTTCTTGGTATGTCTTTAAAGAATGGCAATGAATTAGGCGTTTCAGGAGGAATGATTCCATCACACCCATCAAATTTCGTCTCAAAGGCATGATGCGATGGAAACAATGATAACGTTGAAACTTTCAACTTGCGCTTCTTTTTTTTTTCATCTTTCGTTGTTTCCGCTTCTAGATCTTTCATAGTTTGCTTGGTCGAGGTGATTGATTTATATATATTCGTAAATTGATCATAGGTCGGTGGGCGCTGATCTGGGGAACGTTTTATACGACGGCTTGTTTTCACATTTCTGTCGTGAGGCGTGTTGACCAATGAGCTTGTCGAGGCACCTTTCATCTCTGAATTAATCCCCGTAATATTTTCGACAATCGCACTCTCTGCATTATCAACTGCGGGCTCCGGTTTTTTGTCTTTTGCCTCGTGTTCATCGCCCTTTTCGCGATCCTCTTTATGAGATATGATCGTCGGAAATGGTGGAAGCCACTCAGGAACGTATGAAGGTCGCACCTGAGGCCATTGTTCTAAAGATTTGACATAATTGTTCGGTTGGTCAACAGAAATGTCGATTTGCATTTCCGTTGTGTCGTCAAATCTGTTTTCATTACCATCAGCAGAGAACTTGCTCTCGCCGTTTATTTCTTCCTTCAACTCTTCATTAACTTTGTCCTCTGTTAAATTTTTAACATTCCCGTTTGAGTCATCGGTGTCGATAATCATTTTGTCTTCTCCTCTTTTTCTAATAACTACATCCTCATGAAACTCAAAGTTTTGTATGCCTTCGGCTAAATTCAAAGGTTGATGCTTATTTTCTAATGTTGACACACCCTCGTCAGAATAAATAGCCTGAATCTCATTTGATGATGTTGCGACGATTTTAGCATTCTGATTCACAATGTTTGGCAGCCTATTAGATATATTATTTACAGAATAACCAGGAAGTCCACCCCTTAATAAATCTATGAGATAGTTGACAAAATGTTTCCAGATCCAGTGATATTTTAAAGCATTTTGTTTGAAGCCATAAAACAACATTACCTTTCAAGATTACGGGTTGGGGTCCAGCATAACCCCCAAGGTTCTTCCCCTCAGTTTGTGCCCACTCCTTTAACTCATCAATATTGATCTCGAGTTCTTCAAATGCAGCCAGAACGTCCGTAGAAGTTGCTTTTGTTCTTCCAGCATTGATCGCGCTCTCCTGTGTAGATTTACCCAAGCACATTAAATACTCTTTTAGAACATCAGCAAAAACTTCGCCCGCTATCCTAGAACTCTTTTCGAAACCTGCAGAAGTTAGAACCTGAAGCATACTTCTGCGCAAGTATTCAGTACAAAACTTATCCATTGAGCCGTCTAATGTAGAGAAGAAATCTTTGGTAAGTAATGATTGATGCGCAGTTGGTGATACGGTTGTGATACAACAACATTACATAAAGGTCGATCACTTTTTTGATTATCTTTAATCCTAGAATGTCATCATCATCCACTATTAAAAAACTCCCGCTCTCGAAACTTGCTAGAATTTTGATAGATCTTCGTACAGGTTTAGGTGCGGCAAAGTTAAGCCCAAAAGTTGAAAAGGTTTCATTGACCTTTTCTAGAAGACAGGACAATGCCGGCGCGAGGTAATTTGTTTTTTTTTTTTGAATAAGTCAATTCCTCAAATTCCAAACGTTAACATGAAAAATATCTTAGATACTTTTTAAGAGAAAATTTACCACGAATAGCTTACAACAACCCTGATCTTCCTATCGAAGTTAATATTTCAAAGGAGTATGGAGTGAAACCACTCTTGAAGGTTAAATTCAGTAAGTTCCGATCATGTAATAATATACCGGAACCAGGATTGTAATTTAACCTTATGCATTTGCTCCCGGTCGATGTTACAAAGAGGATTCAGAAGATTACGTGGAATTACCACTTTCACAAAGAAATTCAAGTGACATTTGTCAAGAGTTTCTTGAAATAACAGAAGCAACACCAACATTGTTAACGCGACCGTCTAAATTACAAGAATTACCATCAGGAGACGATTCGCATGAAACACACCTTTTGCCTGGATGAATTTTGGTGAACAGATAATTAATTATTTAGCGACAATTTTCTGATTCTGGTCAGAAAAAATCCAGAGGTTTTGGAATAAATTGAATCAAATCGAGCAGCCTTGGACAAATCTATGCTCCCAGAGTTATTTCTTTTCAGAGGTGCCAAGGTCATATTAGCAATATACGGAATCGTTTCCAATTTTGCATCATAATGGTTAAGCAAGAACCATTCAATTATGTCTTCATTTTGTTTACGCGACAAGCTACAAGTACTATAAACTAGTATGCCTCCAGGTTTAAGCAGTGACCACCCGTTCTTTAAAAGATTCCTCTGTCGTGTGTATTTCAAGGTTAGTCATATAGAAGTGTACTTATTTGAGACGGGGAAAACCAACCTGTAAATCTCGGAGGTTACTTAAACGTTCAGGATTTAAAAAGTTTTTTTCGAATTTATCCCATCCATTTTTCGCATACTTTCAAGTCCGAAATAATTGTGATTAGGTTAAAAATTCCCAAGTTTGTATGATGGGTTCATAAGTTGGACTAATTACTTGCCTTAAGAATATGTGAGATTGACCCATCGTGCGTGCATTCTGCATCGACAATAACCTTATCGTACAAAAATTCAGGTGACCTTATCTGTGGGTCATTTCTTAATGTTTTTGGTGCCCAAAATGGTTGAAGTGGGTCTTGTTGAAGTTCCCCATTTTCCTGGACTTTAAACTTCCCGTCACGTGATTTAGAAGTAACTTCTGCAACGCAATTTTCACCATTCATTCGCCGGATCGGATCCAAAAAGGATGGAGCAAGGACACTAAAAGAAGTGCCATCCGCGATGAATAGCCTGGCACGACCTATCTTATATTTCTTTATTAAACTGCGACATGTGGATATGCGTTCACGTGAAATGTCTACCCCGGTAATCGTGCCGCAACCACTAACGCCCAATATATTCGATGCCATGCATAGTTTAGCCCCTGAAAAGGAAACACGGTCAATAAAGGATATCGGGGAAACTTAATTTTGTGAAGATATAACGTACCCGGGGCACAACATAGATCCAATATATGATCATCTGGTTGTATGTCAAGTGCGCAAACTGCTATTCCCGAGCTTAAGTCAATTCCAAATATCTAGCCCCAATCAAAAAATTTTAATTTCAGCATTTCGTTTGGATTTTATCCTACTGGTTCCTTAAATACCTTTCCTTCTTTGTAACTATACATTTGACATGAAAAATTCTGAAATTAATTTACTGTCATATATTTACCAGATGTTCATAATGAACGTACGTACGCTATGCAATCGACAATTCTACTCCTTCCATTCAACCCATAAAACCCATCGATACCATCAACGCTCCATAATTTTGTCCCAAGTTGTTCTTCTAGTTCCTCACGTGTTGGTAATCGTGAATGTTGTGTATTCAGCCGAATATATCGCGGTAAGTCACGAATTGTGTATATTTGAGGATCAATTTCATTGGCCTGAAGAAATTCTAAGAAGGCCGGTGGTAATTTTGAAATTGACAAGGCAGATGCAAGGTCATCATCAAAAGACATCCTGTTTGATGAAAATCAACTGTGACCCATGATTTTCATGATTTTCATCACCTGTTTAGATTGTTAGTTATGATCTGACAGAGGTTGATCTACTTCATTGACATGACCAAAGAAACTAAAACACGCAAGCCCGGAGGTAGAATCATTTTCTTTCGTGTTTAATGCAATTTTTCGAGATTAATCAAACATTTCTTGATTGTATTAGGGTCTTCTATCAAGCAGCAAAAGCTATGGGCATGCCAGCCAATAATAACTCCAAAAACAGTCTTTCCTCTGTTTTTCGGAATTGCCATAATCTTCACTCCTTTGGGTGGACTTTTACTTTATTTTAGTGGAACGGTTAATGCTCTTATCTATGTTATAGTAAGAATTTCTCTGAAATGGTTATATTTACGATGTCCATTTTAATCACACAAATAGGTATCCGAAATTGACATTGAATATACAAATTGCGAGGCCGAAGCGACCAGTGAATTTCGTATAATACCCCCCAGATATATGTCTAATTCCGATAAAAGAGATATCGTTCATAATACCTATTGGAAGATATCAGATGTCACCCATCCTTATGCGAAAAATCCAAACAACAAAACTACCAAACAATGCTCTGTTCTCTTTTATATACACAAGGACATTCCCCCTCCCATACATCTATATTACCGATTGACCAATTTTTACCAGAATGAAAGATCCTACTCTAAAAGTTTGGACAGTGATCAACTGAAAGGTATAGCTGTTCCTGCAAGCAAGCTTTCTAAAGGAGGTTGCAAAAATCTCGCAACGTCAAACTCTTCTATTATCTACCCCTGCGGACTAATCGCGAATTCCATTTTTAATGGTATGTTGATTTAAAATTTTCACTTTATTCAAACTACAATTTGCTAAAATTTTATAGTACTTTAAAAGATACTTTTAGTAATCTTAGCATGACCAACGTTACTATCGATTCATCAACGCTCGAACAGCAAATAACTGTTGCATTAACAAATTTTACTTATAACATTACTTCTGTCGGCATTTCTGCCCCCGGTGATTCCTCAAAGTATGGAAAAACGCATTATGAAATATCAGAGATCAGGCCGCCCCCAAATTGGGTAGATAGGTATCCCAAAGGCATGTATACGAATGATTTTCCCCCAATAGATCCAGTTCATGATGAGCACTTTCAGGTTTGGATGCGTATTGCTAGTCTTCCTAACTTTAGGAAGCTGTATGGAACGAATAATTTGGATGTGTTGACAGCTGGTTATTACATAGTTAATATCGACACAGGTATGTGGACATTTACAACATTTTCTTACATCTCTTTTTAAGCTATGTAATCTGACCTCCGATCATTATGAAGTATTTCCTTCCACAAAATATGATGGCACAAAGTCCCTTGTAATTTCTAATATCTCTCCAATCGGTGGAAAAAATCCATTTCTGGGGTACGCTTACATAATTATTGGATGTCTATGTGGAATACTCGGGTGTATATTTTTTGCAAAACATTATTTTTATTCAGCCAGGTGAGTGTTTCTTAATTATATGATTCTTCTGTGTCATCTTATGATACTCTGTTATTGACTTTTCAAACAAAATATATTAGAAAACTGGAAGAGAGAAGGAAGGCCGCTTGGAGAATTAGGGAAGGGAAAACAAATTAGAATGACTGATCGGTTTCACTAACATGGCTCATAGGGACTGATTATTTTTTCGACCTGGAGCACTGATCACATCTGTACTATAATGGGATTTTTACAAATATTGTAAACTAAGCATGGAGTCTTGATTTATTTTAACGGAGACACCTTTAAGCATAGATGAATATACTCAATTTGTAGTTTAAAGTGGTAATAACTGTGTGTGAATTCAAAGGCAACGAAACTGTTAATAATTTAAAATCAGAACATCTTATTACTTCGTTATTACAAAAAGTATTAATATTATAATATTAATTTATTATAAAATATATTTAAATTATTTTTTAACTTTGCATAGCACAATTAAACTTGATTCAATTACATATCTTTGATATTATGATTAAAACACTCAATCTATGGTATGGAAATATACTGTATAATATTTATTTAATAATACACCATTATTAAACGATTGGTAATCGACCAATTTTTATTTGTTTTGAAAAATAAAACATGCGAATAAATATTTATTAAAAATATTATTTATTTGGATAATTATTTTTTGAAGGCGGGCCGGAAATTTTCTGGTACTACAATTGTGATCCTAAAATTAAATTATATCTAGCATTTTTGTCGTCTTCAAAAATAATTACCCATATGTAATTTTTATTTTGTATGTGATTTTTTTCTGTTTTAAGAAAAAATATTATGTACAATAAAACGATGGAGATGAAAGAGATTAAAAAATATTTACACGAAAAAGAAAATAATTGTCTACCCGCGATGAATTCTATAAGATCTATACATATATTTTTATAATCGGTTAAAATAATATCATAAATTGATTTTTTAACAGATTTTATAGCTCCATATGTAAATTGTTTTTTAGATGGAACAACTATAGTTCCGATTGTTCCATGAGAGCATTGACTCAATGAACCTTCAAGCTCTCTAACAGTGCTTGGACCTATTAATAACAAAAAACAATAATAAGTCTATGTCATTATTGTCAAGATCATTGAAGAACGTTTACGATAGGTCGTCCACCATATATCAGGTCTGAATACCTGACTGGTAACTTTCACAAATCGTAGCCACGAAGTGCTTTCTATTCAAATGATCATGTATTCCTATTCACCAAAAAGACCCAACCCATCACCCCCCCCAATGTGGTCGTACAGGTCTCGCGTTTCTGGGGTTCTACGCGGGCAGCGTAACTTCAGAATACATAACAACTCGATAACTCGGTGAATATACTCACCAACTGCTCTGAAACTCCAATTTTTACATTGTATAATAAATTTTCTGTTGAGAAATCTTCCGCGAATATCGACACCTCTGAAAACCGAATAACAACGAGTATATGGGAGACTTGTTTAAATTGCAAGTTAACTGTATACTGGAAAACAGCGTACAGGGTTAGGCCTTGAACACGCATGATTCAAGGACATGCCTGTAAACTGCCTCCATACATCTAACGCAGGACGTAATGGCCATACGCTAGTAGGTATACACATCCTGGATACTAGTGTCCAGGGAAAAGGCCTTGAACACACATTGATTCAAGGACATATGCCTGCAAACTAGCACCAAGCATCTAACGCAGGACGTAGTGGCCATACGCTAGTAGGGATGTAGCACATCCTGGATACTAGCGTCCAGGGAAAGGCCTTGAACACACATTGATTCAAGGACATATGCCTGCAAACTAGCACCAAGCATCTAACGCAGGACGTAATGGCCGTACGCTAGTAGGGATGCGAAAACTTGATTAAATAAAAAAAAAGTATACGCGTTTGATATGCAGTACCAATCAAATATCATAGACAGATTTTAATTGGTTAACATTGATCTTAGATATAATCCCACGTGATCTTATAAAATCGCGTAAAAATTAATTGTTGTACGCGTTTCAACTATCTTGTCAAGATGTTCGAGTCGGTTGTGAATGAGTTCCTTCTACGTACGGCAGTTAAAGAGTGGTCGGTTATTTCCATACTAGAATATGTTAAAGCAAAATGTGAATTATCCTCTGATCTGTTCGAAACTTTGAAAGAAGACGTATATTCAGTGCTACAAAGGTTCGGCGACAGGCAAAACGTTAACAGTCATGAAAATGCAAAAAAAAGAGCGAGAAAATTGTTATCAAGCTTTGAAAAGTCATGCTCTTCAACTGGAGTGAGGCGTTTTATTGATGGATTAAAACTAAGGGATGAAGAAATAGAATTTCGTACAACATTATTTCGCAAAATAAAATCGTCAAACACGTTACAAGCACTAGAGGTAAATTTAAAGCAAACTTAAGAATGATTCCATTGCAATAGTCTTAATGAGAATTCTATTAGGAACATCGCGTGGTCAGAACATTAATCGAAGATATACGCAACCCGGATGAGGTAACCTTGGTCTCAACTATACCTTCCAATGTGTTTCTATATCTCTTACAGAATCCCAACCTGTAGATTCATGATGGTAAGTGTTGTATCTGGTACACTTTCTTTTTTTGATGCAGTTCAGTGTTAACAAAATAACAAATTGCAAGATTAAAAAATCAAATGCGTCAAACTATGAGTTATAGCTTGCGCTCGAAGAGGGTTCATGATTGAGACAAAGATCATCAGCTTTTTCTGCCAGATACAACACAGGGATTCTGACTTTAAATTTTACAAAATAAAAATGATAATAAATTTTTATCATTTAGATAGAACACCAAGTTTTACCAGCCGGAAACTCTGGAATTCAAAGTATTAATAGTTATCAGAGAAAACATCATCGTGAAGAAACGACAGATGATGATGAACCGGAAAAGGTACAAAAGAAATGTAATTTGTCTCGATCCCTTGTATAATAATGGTTGATAAGATTATGATCGTTAAAAAAAGCAATGTAGGATTAGGAGTGGGAGAACTACACCGAATTATGATATAGATTCTTTGGATGTTGTCGAAAAATCAGGATTAGAAATTTCTACGGAAAGTAAGAGAATCATTAGACAAGATTCATCGACATCATCAAGACAAAACGATATCGAAGTTGATGAGATAGATATGCTGTTGTCAGAGGTCTGATATCTTATGCATATTGCTTTGATTCACGAGCTTCATCATTTAATAAATTCTTGTCCGTTCTTAGAATCCAATCGCCCAAAGATTAATAGAAGTCGGTGGAATTGGTAGATATAAAATTATCTTTTTGCCAGAAGAAAATGATTGTGATGCAATCAAGTCAATATTCAATAAGAATGAGTGGTCGAAACTAGAAACAGATTGGATTAATGTTAGTTATCATATGTCTATATATTAATTTTAAAAAACTAATTCAATACTATTTTTATTTTTTCAGGCTGAGAAGAGAACGATACCTTCTAGTAGTGTAATGAACGAGAATATTAACACGTTATTAAAAAAGTACAGTGATGGTATCAATGATGCGACGTTCGGATACGATGTGGACTTGAGAAAATTGTCCGTTTTATTTGATGAAACTTCAATTGCAAGTCGTGACACGTACATTTTTACTCGCGAATGGCCTATGCAATGGATCAAATCTGTTTTTAATGCATTGTAAATATAATATTTTGTTTCGTTTTTTGGGGGGATACTTTCTACATTAACTATATTCTATAATAGTTTACTGTGTTTCCAACTACCAATAAACCCACTTCACGATTGTGATTTATCCGAATATTCCTACAGAGATAGGATTGTTAATCGTATTATAGAAGATATTTTTCTAGACACATATAGTTTTATTCGCGTTAGGACGTAGGTTGTTTCTTGCGGTCTCTATCTCTTGAAATATTTGCCAAATACTAATATAAGCTTAATTGCAAACAAGAGGTGAAGTCGAAAATAGAGATCGTAAAGATCAGAAAAATTCTGCAAGGCCACAAGGACAACGACGTTTTGTTGGATGGGATCATGACGCTATAT